TGAAACAGAACAAGCAAAGTATTAACCAACAATTACGCGTTTACAACCACTTTGTCGTTCTTCAAAAAGAGATCAAGAAATACGAATAAAAATAAAATGAAAGGAAAACGAAAGAGAAGCTCTAGTATATCTAATTTTCAAGCGAATCTAAAGAAATCCACCCGAAACCCAAGGTTCAAATCAGAAACAATTCCTACCATTGAAAGAGATCTCGTCGAAACATGTTGGAGCATCGAGCAAACCGTATCGTCGTCACCTAGCACAAACAACGATTGCAAACAGACGAAAAGATATCGCGCTCGAACAGATCGCGCAGAAAATCCAGCTCTCAGCATTCGGAAGATCCTAGTTTTGAAGTCAACGTAGAGGAGCGACTCCGTGGAGAACAGAGGACGTTTTCGTTGGAAACGCGATTTTGGCCTAACTCCGGGAACCTGGAACCGAAACTACCTTCGGACTACTGGCAAGACAGTTCGCCTGCAACTGGATTTCTCTCTCTCCAGGGAAACTATCTATTCCGTTTCTTCGTTCCCTCCACGTTGACCCGTTTGCACACCGCCAGTTGTCCGTCTCGGAATTCGCGACTTGCCCACTCTCACTCGCGAATTATCCGTTGGCATCGTTATGGCGCGCGTGTGGCCAACATCCGATAAGAAACCAGGGTAGATACGTTGATTTTGTTTGCCAGTTTGTTGCGAGATACGCATACCGAGCCGGTAAATATGCGAAATTTCACGAGGATATTTAACCCCTTTGATATCATCAGGGATTATAGCCAGCTAACTTCTAACGCTCATACTGGCGGAGACTACAGTCACTTAATGTCTGACACTCATGGTGCACTAATAGTGATCATAGATAATAAACACACGATACTCGTAGTATATTAACACGATAAACGCTACGCCAGTTTCACTTGCCGTTCCGTTCATGCTACAGTTAACCATCATGCAGGCCCTTCCGGGCCTGAACGGAAAGTCTAGCGCCAGTCCCTAGGGACTTAATTCTAGGGTTTAACGTATTAACATCGTTAAAATTGTCCATTTATTCGTACCTTTGGTAGAGCAACAGACGGTGACTATAGTTACCCAGAGTCTAACGTTCGCGGTGCACCAATAATGATTATAGGCAATTAACGTTTGATTTTCGTGGTATATTAACAATAATTTTAATCAATCGTTAAAATTTTCCAATCATTCGTAATTTCGATAGAACAGACTATGACTATCAGTTAAATAAACCGTTTGACTAATACGAGCAACGCGATCACGGCTCTTTTCCGACGAAATGATGAATGTACACGAATAAACTTTTGTATTACCGTATTTCAATTTACTACAGCCTCGACAAATTTCGAGTGCACACTCGGTTCCACTCTACTGACTAATTAACAGGCACTTTTTGCCAACTGCAGAGGCACGATCGAGCCGTTTGATACTCGGAACTAAACGATCGTATCGAGAGAGCTCTGGTATGTTTCTGATTATGCGATGTACTCGCGAAGTCGTAAAGTGACAGCGCGAAATTGTCTTTCTCGTGAACTAAAAGCATCACGCTGCTTGCTAACGTGTAATTTCTAAAGTAATTAACATACGGTTCATTTCGAGTAACGAGCCAGAACATTGCTTGGGAAGAAGATTGTATGGACGATAGATCATGTTGTAAACAGAACGTGAAATAGACGATAACGATTTGTTGATCGTTATCAATGATCTGAAGAATGGTTTTGCTTTTTCACGAGATGTTCATATTTTTATGTGCAAACGAATGAAATAACGAATTTAGTATATAAACGTATGTTATGAATCTAAATAGTAAATCCATAATTTCATTTGACGATGTTTGTGCAAACGGGATGATCACGTTCTGCGATCAATTCCATTAACGAAAATTTTCTTCGCTTCTAACTTGATTATTCTGCGATTATAAAAGAATTCCGGCTATTAAGCGAATTACAGAACTTTTATCTTAGGAGAGTATTTGCTTTCTGTGAGGTTTAGTTCCTAGCCAGGGGTAGCTTATTAAGAAGGGAATTTTTTGTCGTTTGTAATTACCCTCTCGCCAAAAAACTTTTACCAGTTTCTACTTCACTTCCCTCGTACTGCACTTGTTAAACAGGCACAAAAAATTGTAGACTTTTAGTGAACATTTTTGTACATATAAAGAAGAGAAGGGAAACACGCTGCAACTACCTATGTTCGCTTTCTAATTTCTATCGATTTTGATTGCAAAAGATTGCTCGTGGAAATGAATTTTCCCATGCTGCAAAACGATTAATGTTTTACGTTTTGCTCTCCTAATCTGCGCTCGTCACCTAACAAAGAAGATCCTACTAAATTATTTTTCCACAGGCTATGCCTACATTCGTGTTTTCCACTTCGCGCGCTGAAAACCGGGAAAAGACAAAACGTTTCGTCGGTTTTCTTGGCAATGAGTTCGCCAACTTGGCGAAAATTGAATAGATAGCAGAAACGAATAGAAAGTGGTGCCAAGTTCTCCAGCAGAGAGGAAAAAGGGGAAAATAATCACAGTCAGAAATCGACCAAAAAATCATCGTTCGTTTTATCCTCAACTGAAGCATCTCACGCGCCTTTTATATACCTCTTGATAATAATTTTTTCAAATATACTCTTTATATCACAGAAGATATAGAATTTCTTTGGTTACTATTGATCTGTCTCTTACAAATTTCTCGACTATTTCTACAAATAAATTTTATAAATAAATTTTGTATTAGAAGAATAATTACCTCAAAATATTGGAAAGAAGGAATTAAACATAAGATAGAAATAAACAAGATAATTTATTCCTTAAATGATATTTCGCAACACTTTGAACCGAGAGTTAAATTGAACAGGACAATCGTAGAAAGAGGATTAAAGTATCCTTTCCTAAGTAAAGATAAAGAAAATCATTAAAGAAAACTGTAGCACTACTTAGCGAAAGTTTTTTCATTCCACGATATCTTTGCAGGAAATCAATATAAATGTGGAACGCTGTTTCTACTTTAATGAAAATTATCATCCTTTCCTTTTATGTAAACGACATTTAGAATCTTTAATATGACGATATCAAAGAAAGTTAAGAAAATTACGATTAAAAGGAATCCAAGGTAACGAAATACTTTCATGTAAATTGACAAATATTAAAACTGATCTCAAACTTACATAACTCTGTACACTATAACGCAATGCGAATAATTTTGTCTTTTTTTATTTAACCTATAGATACTAGTAACAACGATTTTTGTATCCTAAGTCGAACAACGAACACTAGTTATTTAAATCGTTCTTTGGACAATTGTTTCTACTAAAAATCCAGCTCACAATTATTATTCCGTGTAACATTCGATTACACATCAAATCCAAAGTAAATAAGTTTCGCACTAAATCATAAAATTTCCTTTCAAAATTATGTGCGATATCCAAGTTTTAAGTGCATTTGTGAGAACGTTCTAAATGTGGATTGTGGCCTTCGAAGAAAATATATTTCGAGACAACAAATACTGTTTCGTTACTCTTCCGGGTCTATTTTCAACCGGATTAAATAATAAGAGAGTACCCTGGCAATGATTATGGAACGTAAAATTTACGACAGGTGAATACTCTTGGTAAACAAGACGATCTATAATTTAATTCAACTTATACATTGGTAAAAATTATAACTTCATTCATGTTTCCTCCTTCAGTTCCTCTATTTACATATTAGTTATATTTTATAATATAGAAGAATATTTTGCTCACATTTTAACTAATGTGAATCATGTGAACCATTATTAATCCATAACACTTATCAAAAGAAAATATTTATTAAATTATATAGAATTAAGTATTTACTTAATAGAGAAAATTAAAATTATAATGTATGTAATGTGAGCACTTTCTGTTTTATTTAAATTTCTAAATATATTCTTATTAGTTTACTGCAAAATAATTAGAAATTTTGTAATTACTTTTTGGAATTTATTGTTTTAAGTGAAATGTTTTGGAATTAAAGAATTATTTTTAACTATACTACAAACATTAATTACGTGATTTAAATCATATGTTCTACAGTCCCTTCCTATTTTAAATTTTTAATAATTTATTTTATAGTAAAGTTATTGTTTATTTTAAAAACATTGAGAACACATTACATACATGGTATAAAATCGATTAAAAGGTTATAGCACTTACCAACGAAGTTTCAAAGCAGCTGGCAAGTCAAATAGTTCATAGGATGGCGCCACCATGCGATGCTTCTAGGTTATGCACTGCTACCTGAGTACAAAAAATTTTGAATTTGTTTGAAAGTTTGAAATAATCAAATAGAAGAGAATTTTATTAGATTATTACATAATTTTATTAGACTAAAATTAAGTTTATCACAGATGTTCCATGGGGATACAAAGCAATTACTCTGAACAATAATATAAGTATTGATAAGAATCTTATATTACATATTTTGTATTTCTAACATAACTTCTGTGACCTTTAGCTAATGTTACTAAATTTATTATATAGTATCGGATAACAAAACTGAATTTTGACAGGGATTAGATTCTAGTTTTTATGCATATGTACAAAAACGAATATTAATATCAATCTTTTCTATGTTCTTTAACTATTAAAAGCAGAAAATATTAATTTTTTTAACAATATCGATGACAAAATTCTACAATAAAAAAAAATACAGAAATAAAAATTTAATGAAAAGTATAATTTTTAAATTCCAGTAATATGTTCAGAGCAATGCAAGGTATGATATAAAAAGCCTAAATGAAATTTCATTATTGTATCTAAAAATTGTCAAAATCAAAATATACAGCTTTTATATTTCCTCTACTCTATTTTGTTTACATACAATTAATTAAATTTAAAAATTAAAATCAGATAATTCCAATATTAACAATTTGTTATACAGAATAGATTAGGTTTCATAATTTATTTAATAGTTTTAATCATTTGTACAAAGTACAGATAAAATAAAGATATTTACCACTGTATTATCTGCACATTGACTTACAGATGACTTGAAGATCATATAAAACATTTAATGAGAACATAAACTTTATGAAGCACCAGGATATGGATCTGCTCTATTTTTTCTTAAAATAAATTTAATTTTTCTAGTCATATCTTCGTTATAAATAGCTTTACACATTTCAAAATTAACTCTTCTTCTTGTCTGACAAGGTTTTTCATAGTATCTAGTACGTCTGAATTGGGAAAGGATGCCTTCTCTTGACAGGATACCATTCAATGTACGGGAAGCTTTTTGTATATCGTTATTCTGAACAAAAACTGTGCGAGCAAGGAACTGTGCATGTCTACGCATACCCATCTGAAAAAAATATTAACAATAAACATTTTGCTCTTACTTTTTTTTATGTAATTATATACCCTACTCTTTTCATAATCATGTTAAAACAAATGATGTATAGTACAATATATAATCCAATCACATTTAACAGTATAAAATAAAAGTATTTTATTAGTAACCGATTTAAATAACAAACATAACTTCAAGTTACTACAAACATTGTTATAATTATTTTTGACATAATTTTTTTGACAATACATTTTATTTTAACATTTATATTAATTCTAAATAACGATATATTCATAGGTTATGTAGTTTTCAGAAATTTATTACAGACATTAAAATTGTTACTTAAATTTGTTATTTAAGTGAACTAAAATATTAATCAGGTAGAATAGTTGATACAATACCTTGTATTTCAATTAAATATGTATGATTACTCAAATAAAACTTGAAATAACTGAAAGCACGCAGTTAACTATCGGAACGAGCAACGAATGTCGCTTCAATAAATCGAAACATTCAAGGCGCGGTTTATTTGAATGTTTCATTTACTGCATTATAGGATAAATTACCTTGCAATAAAAATTGATAATGTCTTTTCACATAAGTATAAAAGGTAGATCAATTTAAAAAATATACATTGACTATATTAATATTTTTCTTTTACTTTTTCTTTTATCTTTCCTTCATAGAAAACTAAATAAGAAGTATTAAGATAATATATATTTATACATACTATCGTTCTTACTTGATATAGTATTTAACTCATTTTTTTATTCCTTGCGGCCTTTCGCAATAAAATTGCATATGACCCAAAAAAAGCATGTTCAACAAAGTGATGACGATGAAGTACAAAATTAAACAGGATAAAATCTGCATGTGTAAATTGTTTGAATATGTCATTAATTAGTGCTCATCCATTTATTTAATTTACCAAGCATAAAATACGTAAAGAATAAAATATGATTAGGAAGATTAAAGATACTTCAACGATATTATAATTTTAATATTGATTAATCAATTTTAAGCAATTACTTCTCGATCTTTCAAATTATATCGAAATCCCCAGCGACATATACAAAGCCATACTGATAAGGATATCAAAAGTAATATCACTGAAAACGGAGTAGCATATATGTGTATGCGGAACATTTGATACATTTAGCAATTTTACAAACAGTTTTTAAATTTTCTTTACTTCCACCTTTATGCACGAAGCTCTTCATTCTGCAATATTTAACACCATTAACACTATTAATACCTTCGAACTGCGCGAGCAACGTGCATATTCAAATTCGTTTATCACGATTACCTTTCGACTTAGCGCGAAGAAAAATGATCATAAATTTTGGTTACATACATTACACACTC